GTCTCTGTTGGAAAATAAGCAAATGACATAAAGTCATGTTGTCGGGCAAAAAGACTCCATAAGCCCCTCGCGGAAGTTTTGTCAATGTTCATTATACCTGCGAAAGAAATGGAAATCAAAGAAAAAAAATGTTGAATTGAAAAATGCTCAAGCTGTAGGCGGTGATTTCGATTTCTGGTGAGCAAGAAGGGGGAGAGATATCTTCAGGCTAATTTTTTGTTTGTTTTGATCAATTCCCGTAAGATCAGAGCCAACAAAAACCGGAAGATATCTTTGTTCTTAAGCGGACATGTCGGGGGGATAGTGACGACGAAAAAATCTGAAAAATCTTGTACATGTATTCCCAGGAGCCATCTGATTTCTCAGCCATATCCCATTTTTTCGTTAAGTTGAATGTCCGAGAGAAATGACCGTTGTTCTATTGATACCTTCTCATGGCTAGTTCAAGGAAAGAGCGTTATGAAGAATGGAATTGGAATTTTTATTGGTCGTCGTTCTCGAGAAAAAGAGAAAGAGGGGAGATCGATTCGAAAGATTACTAAAGGGCCTTCTCGAATGTTTTCTTTATGTGAGAAAAAGTTTCCTCTTCCATCAAAAGTTTTGGACACTCTCGACACCAATCATAACGAATTCCGGTATTCCAATTTGGGATGGACGGAGAAAACGGAGAAGTCGGCAAAACCAATTGAATGTCGCACTCCACGTGACAGTATTTCCCGTCATAATTGAACCAATTGGGAATCGTAGAATCCGGGGGAATACCCAGGAAAACCAACTAGATGCTTCTTTCGAGGAAAACATCATTGACTAGTCGGAAGAGATGAGAGACATCCAAAAAACAGTTTTGATGATGACGACAGGTCTTGAGATTGTTCCTCAACATGAAAACTAATAAAGCCGTGCATTAAGCTGGCTATATAACAATCATATGATGTGGGCCGACGATTACGCAAATGCATTCGATCAGGTACAAACATACCCGTTTGTTTCTATCATATTCAGGCGTTCCCGGATAGTCGATTGTCAGAAAATTATAAATGTGTCTAGCTTTTCTGGTTTCGCACTTGGAAACTGTTGAATTGAAAATTCCTGGATTGATTTGTGATGCTATTTTTTTTGTTAACCGATGATTTTGATCCCTGATTCCTAGGATGTGGGACATTTTTGTAGTTCTGTAATAGGTAAGTCTAGAAAATATATTTCCAAAAAAAGATTTGAAAGTTGTCAATGTGACTTGACAAATCCGATATAGCTTTTATTTCGACCTTTTTATCTCTCTCGATTACTGTAAAAGGTTTTGAAAAAAGTTTTTACAAAAAATTTCTGAAAAATATGATCTTTTTTGAAATTTCACACTGGAAATAACACAAGTCGAGTCAAAATTAAAAGTATGGGGGTTTCTAAGATTTCGGTATTCGACAAATTTTCAAAAAAAAACTTTTTAAGATTTCATTATAATACTGTTTTTTGAAACAAAAGAATAATCGCGTTTGAAACTGCGTCATAGGTGGATTTTTTAATTTTTCAATTTTTTTAAAAATCGCGATTCTGAAAACTAGTTTGAAACGATTTTAGACACCATAGTGCTCAGAACTTTTTCGCTGAAAGAAATCATTTCAAAAAACTGCGAAAAAATTGCTTTCAGGGTTTGACAGTGAACATTTCGCGTAATTTTCTATTCTGGGACCTTTGTTCATTCAGTTTGTCGGATTCCTATTTAAAATTCACAAATCTCAAATTGTTTTAGGACCTTGTAGAACTTTTTTGAAAACTTCACCAAAACTTAAAATTTTCCAAGTTTATCCATGACCTAACCATTCCCGTCTCTCCCAACATTCACTCCTCTCCCGAAACTTTGAAAGCGATGTGATTAAGTTTTTTCCCACATTAATGTTAACTTTTTGATCACTGATAACCGATTACCCGTTTCGTTAGTTTCCCGAAATTCTAATCTTCCGATCTTTTGATCGAGGCCCGCTTCAACTACACTATATATTTTTTGCCAACAGCATAACCGATAAAAATACTTTTTCCCCGCTCTTTTCCTTAATCTCGAAACGTCGAAATTCCGTTTTATAACTTCTCCAGCTGACACCTGAACTAATCAGCGCGCATCTCTTGCATCCTTGACGGAAAACAGTTCCGTTTGTTTTTTTCCGTTTTTCTCTTCAAATGTTTTTCGTTATCGGAGGTGCTAAGAAACGATTAGCAATGAAAGCGAAATTGTATACACAGTAATTACGATGAAACTAATCTGAACTGCCGATCTCTCGAAAAAAAAACACAGTTTTGCTATTATTACTGTTAAATCTAAATGTCAACGGGAAGAAGAAAACATAAATTGAGACTATTTCTTCCATGATTGAATTTATATCCTTTTCTAAGTTCCGCCGTTTCAGTATCCTTTCGTCCGTAAATGAATTGAATATTTTCAAAGAAACATTAAGGGGATTTGCATCCTGGAAAATCTTTATCTCGACTCTAGTTTGACGAGCGTATTCCACGAATTAGATCCCGGTCTTCATAATGTATGATCAGTGAAGAAAAAATCGCAACAAACATTATACGCGATACACGATTTTTGAAATTCATTCATCCTCATGATTGTTGCTGATAAGGATGCCGCGATCGCGAGATCAAATTATTAAGAAACATCGGAATCATTTAACATTTTGTTTTACAGCTGCCCCCGTTTTCATCTACAAAAAGAAACTTGCTTAGCGTGTGTAGCAAGATAAAATTGCCAATGATTTTCGTGGTGAGAAGTGGAACATGATCAAAGGTTCGATGTTGTCATCGTCATCGGGTATAGTTTGAGGAAACAACGAGCGAGTGGATCTATGGAACCGGCCAGTTTTTTCTGAGTCTGGAAGCAAAATTTTGTGACGAAACATCCTGATTCGAATACAAATCGTACGAGATGAGATCAACAAGTTTTTCGTGTAGTGCTAAACTTGATCAGGAGGTGTTCTGGAGTTTCTAAAACTAGAACGGAGGCAGGAAATGTTTGGAAATTGAAAACGCTACTAAATTTTAGTAGAAGAAATCACTAAAATTTTCAAACAGTACAGAGTTCATTCTCGACAACGTTACTGTCTCTGATGACACTACCCATCCACTTTTTGAAATTTTGAAAATTTTGTTTATTCACCGAAGGGAGTGATACCTCTGACACGTAAAGAATAGAATGGTTGGAATTATAATTAAACAAAATATCGGATGTAGATATTGAAGTGACGGGGAACTCGGTGGACACTGGTAGTTAGTAGTTAATGCTATTTAATAAAAGCGAATGATTAAAATCACATTTTGACAATCTGTATTTGAAAGTCTTTCACGAAGGTTTTACCGGGATACTTGAACTAAATTTATCTACTTTCTTGTGAGAGCTATCCGAAAATGTCAGACTGACAAACTATTTCTGATACTATTATGCATGGTTTGTCTTCTGAATATTTTTCTATACCTTTGACAGGAGACAAAACAAGTTTGCTCAAAGTTGACAATTAAATAAACCTGCAGATTTTTCAGTTGTTTACATTATTTCTAGTGGTTCAAGAAAAGTGAGTACAGTTTCAGTAAATTTTGGTCTGCAATTGACTCCCGGGCACTCTAGAATTTGTAGCACAAAATCCAGAGAAAGAGGGACAAAAACTTTCTCTATGATTTTTCTTTTCAACTTTTTCCCTTCAAAACCATCTTGACCTACGCAAACCAAGAACTTGGTACTTGACCACCAACACCTCACACACTCGATTTGATTCAGCTTTTCATTAACCCTGTTCCCCTCCCCGCACATCTCTCCAGTTTTCTCTCTCTCCATTTAAATCTACAGAAGAAAAAGAATGTGTCCGTTTTCTACAGTATCCGCCAACTACTCTCTATCCCCCACTCATCATCATGACGCTTCTTCAAAATTGGCCGAAACTAAAGTATACACGATGAGAAATCATCTCGAACTTTTGCGATCTACGTGGAGAGGGAGTGAGAGAAGGTGAGAGAACTAGGTGGGAGTGGATCTGTGTGATTCATAAAAACGCGCTGAAATTAGTGAAAACCGGGAAAGACGACGAGGTATCGAAGGGGGAGGTGCTTGTTTCTTCAGTGTCGTATAAAAGTGGAACCGAGCAGAGCAGTTTTGCCATGTTGGTCGTCGGTGGTCACAAACACCTCTCCATATCCCATCCATCTAGCCCTTCGGTCTCAATTTCGACGATCCATTCTTTTTCTCATCTCATCTCTCCTTCCTTTTCTTGTTTCTTTCTGCCCTCCGTTGGGGGGCTTAACACCGTAATCCTCAACAATTACACGTCGGATGTCTTGCTTGTGGAGTCTCAAGTCTCATTTCCTTTACTTTCCTTTATTCATTCGATTTCAAATGCATTCCTCTTTTCTGTTAGAAACATTTTTTGGTTCTCTCTTGGTTTACAAGCTGGAAATCCATGCTAGTCTAGCCAGTTTACCATTTTCACTTCACTATTACCAACTTTCATTCATTCCAAAAGTTTTCTTTGTTTTGTTTTGGTTGCTGTTCCTAGTCAGGTTAATTCATTCACAGATTAAGTTAAAATAATTTCTCTTTGTCCTAATTTCTTCTAATTATGTACATTTTTTCTCCTTATTTTTTGTTTTCTCTCTAATATCCTCCTAAAATCCAGTTGAACTTTCAGAATGAGATTACTACTCAACTTGTGTCTGCCTTTTTGTATTCTTTTCGCATCCGCAATCGCTGATTCCTATCATGACGGTGGATCATGTGGTACCAACTCCATTCCATATAAAATGGAAGTGGACAGTGACGGGAAGCCAGGTACGGTAGTTCTCGATTTTCTAGAAAAAAGTTTCGTTCCAGTAATTTCATGCGAGGCACCATCTTGCTTGGGACTCACATCGTCGCTAAAATCTCGTCCTAGAGAATTGTCGGTGGTGAGTTTTAAAGGATGTATAGAGGGATTGGAGGGGATGCCTCATAAAAGAGTTTTATAGTTGTAATTCTTTCCTCATCGTATGGCTATATTGTTTTTCCGGACATAGAAGGAAACACCTAGAAAGTGAAACTCAAGAAGACCGGAGAATAATTTAGAAAGACATAGTGAGAGGTTGATTGAGCGAATTAGTTGATAGGATTTTGAAACAGTATAGTCATCAGCTTCTTCTTTTTTATCGGGCCGGTCAAAAAAGCTTATAGTCTGTTTCAATTTTTTTTTATGTTTCATTAGTCCATTAGAGCGTCTCAGCTGATCTTTGAGACATAGCAAATTAATCTAGAATGTTTCTTCTCTTTTTGATGCTTATTCATCATCTGCTGCTTTAATGCGTTCTCTGCCTTCTAATTGTGTCCATGTCAAGAATATACGTAAGCAAGCAAATTAATTGACGGTGCGCATCGGCGATCAAAAGTGCATGAAACTGGATGACCGGAACTGTCCGCGTGTGTGTGTACTTCTTGGTCGAAAAGCAACCATAATAATGAGTGATGAATGGTAGTAGAAATGGTATTACGAACAATCCGGTGGTCGTTCGCTGGTTTTTACAATATTCTATTTCTTTTTTAGAGCTGCGATCCATTCAAGGAGGTTGTTTGTGTGGACGAACTACAATGGACTTCTGGATTAGTGGAGATTAATAATGGAACACATAGAACATTAAAAACCGAGTGCTGTTCTTACGAAGAAATGGCGACTGCTAAGAATGTCAAAAGCATCTTCCTAGGTCCCGGACAATCTTATGTTGGAGGGCTTGTAGAGAAAGATGGAGAAGAATCAGGATTCGATTTGATCAAAGAGATCAGAAAAACTGTGAACGCCGATAATCAGTAAGCGAATGAGCTCTGATGTTTTAAAACATCGTTTTTCCAGGGTACAATACATTGTTGGAGTTTACCGTATGGTGTGTAACGCACGTTCTGACTCAAGTGAGCCCAAAACATAGCTTACTCTCAAAACCAGAATAATTTTCCAGGCGAGGAACTACCAGTACTTTCCCGTAACAGAAGAAAGCTTCGCGAGAGAGTTGGAAAATATGATGACTATGAGGAGGATAGACATTACCGTAGACGGCGCCCATTTGCCATGAGAAGACGTGCTCTTCTTCAAAGACTCGAGGATTACTACGACGACTACGAATACGATTTTAGACCCATGAGAAGACCATTCAGAAAGTAATGTTATATTCATTTACAAGTAGCACCGCTCTAACTGAAACATTTTCAGAAGCCGCCTTCCATACAACGAGAACGCCCTCTGGCCCCTTCAATACTCCGCTCCACAACGATCCCGCGTCTTCGCTGAGAACACCTACAACGAGAAGACAGGTTTGTTAGAGACAATGCAAGACGGAACTGCAGCTCTTTCTAACTATGGTGATTCTTCAGTAGAATCCGGTCCACTTCCACCACCACCCAGCTCCAGCTACATCGATGTGAGTTTAGTTTCGCTTGCTTCTAATTTCTCATCATGCCTAACACTAATTCGTCACTAACTTTTACTAACTTTCTAGTCTCAAAACATTGCGCCAGCGTCGCCCTCGGTGCAGTCGCCGGCGTACCCACAGAACTCCCAAATGCCACAACCGCCACCATCTGACTCCTACGCTGGATCCTATCAACAACAAAACTCATACACCTCGTATAATGGATACCCAACCGCTGATAACAGTCAGTACAATGGATACCCGGCTATGCAACAGCCAGCATACCAGCCAGCTTACCAACCAGCCTATCAGCCAGCCTACCAGCCAGCATACAGTCCATCTTCCTACTCTGGATATTCGGTAAGATAAGCACGAGCAGATAGTTTTAAATTCAAAAATGATTCCAGCCAAATCTGAACGGATACTTTACAAAAATGCAGTGCTTCTCTGGAGACATGGAGGTTGAAACTGAAGATGGAGTTAAATTAATTAAAGACTTGAAAATCGGAGACAAAGTACTCAGTATGGACGAGGCATTCGTGACGTACTCGCCAATTATCATGTTCCTGCACAAACGCGACGACGAGAAAGCCGAATTTAATCTTATTGAAACCTCGAACGGACATTCAATCAAGCTGACTGATAATCATTTGATCTACGTCTCCGATTGCAACGCGCGATCTGATTTGAAGTGAGTGGGAGCGAGACCCGGTTGATTCGAAACATGTATCCGATTTTTTTTTGTAGATTGGTCGCCGCAAAAGAAGTCAAGATGGACGATTGCATTCACGTCACAACAGAGAACAATGCCGTGATCAAGAAAAAGGTCTCAAAGATCAGCAAGGTAGTGGATACCGGAATCTACTCGCCACTCACCTCAACAGGAGATATCATTGTGAACCGCGTTCTAGCATCCTGTCACTCTAATCTCGCCTTGAAATCTCTCCAACAAACATTCTTCTCACTCTACAAACGGACGTCAGGTGTCTTTAACAGTTTTGCACTCTTCAAAACATCCCAAGATGATGGAAGTCTACCAGTTGGTGTGGAAACTCTAACGAGTGTCATGGATCTATTCATACCACAATCATTCGTTTAACCACGTCTTCTCACAGAACTAATAAGTTGTGATAATAATTGGAACGTTGTTTAATAATGGTTATTTATTTATGTATGCTTCATTTTGCTTCTGCTTTTATCCAGCCCCCTCTCATCATGTTAAACTATGCGGTTATTATGTGCATTTTGGTTGCAGCTGTTTTTCTTTCACTGTCACCCTGCCATGTTTTAAGAAACGAATAAACGATGAATCTGTGCAAAAAGTTTTTTTTGTCTTGTTGCTTCAAATGTCTTTTCAAAATCTATACATTTCAAAACAAAAAATAAAGCAAAAGTAAGACTGATGAATTTGGCAAATAATTTACAATCTATTCATCACATAACATGAAACACTATACTCCTGAAACAAAAAAAAGACTAATCTAGTTTGTCAGGTAAAATGTAAAAACCGAGAAAATGCGAATCAAATATTAGAACCTCCTAATGTCAAAGTTTCTTAGCAAGTCTACAATTTTATCAGAACTCTTCAACTAAAGCCTGCATTAGAACGGCGCTCGAACTTTGAGCAAACTCATACTTTTAACTGCACGGTCTTCCCAGTTGGAAATTGGAACTGCAAGCAAGTAGAGCGTCATTATAAAAAATTTTCCGCTTATTTTTACAACGAAAAATCGGTTTTCAGCTATTCTTTCTAATTTTTCCCATTTTTACAACTGTTTGTCTATTCAGAATGTTTGTTAAGCAAAAACAAACTTTTTTAAAACCTAAAAATGCAAAAACAGACAACATGAAAAAAAAAAAAAAAATTGGTGATGAGGTCGGAATTTTAGCAGCTTTCCGAAAAAATCTTCAAAGGTATTATCCGCTAGAAATCTTTCTCGATTAAAAAGTTTATCGCGATTTTCGGGAGAAATCTAGAATTCCTAAAATCTCTTTCGGCGATTTTTGTTCAAACTTGCTGTTTTTCCATGGGTGACGTCGGTGCCTTCGGCTGATGAACATTTTGTGTTGACAAAAAATGAAAAAATACCTGAATGTTTTTTAAAAGAACAAAAAATTTGCGCCGCGCGAACGCGCTCTGCTGACAAAAAACACTTGTAGCTTGAATTTTCAGCTGGGGAGAGTATGAACAGTAAGAAATATTGGAAATGTTCCAATGACGAATTATTGGTAATATTTCATTGAGTGTTTTATCAGTTTATTATTTTTTGATATTTTTCACAGAATACAAGAACACCGTTTCAGAATTGACCACTGCAGGACGCTTCTATGAAGGGGTTTTTCGTAGACTCTCCAATAATTTAATTGAAAAAATCTATTTTTTTTATTGTTGCTCAAAGCCAAAGAACAGTTTTTAAACTTTCATCCGACAACAATTTCTCCTTTAAAAACTTATGTTTCATGTACATAGAATCCACGTTTTCGTAACATGTACACGATATATGTAATCCGAGTCGTGGAGGGCCCCCAATTCCAAGTGTTTTGAGAAGAAACTGACCGAGTGTTACAAAACATTGTCGTCTCAAATTTGTGTCAGACGACGACAACGGATTGCCGCTCGGCAAGTCTCGGTATATTCTTACCTCAATTCTGTTTTAGTGCACGGGGGAGCTCTTCTTCAGCCTCTTCTTGCCACTCTCATCTCCCTTTCTCTTATCGGTTGACCTTTTGTCATTTGGTCCCAATTGTTGCTTCTTCTATGTGACGGATGGTGGGTCTTTGAGGGGTTTTTCTCTACTAGACAGGATATTTTCTTGCCTCTCGGGGTTTTTTTTTTGTTTTTGCCCATCAATTGAATTCGGGAACAAGGATCGTGGAGGAATGATAAGAGAGATGAAAAAGTTGGCAAGGCCGAACACAGATAGCTCCTTGTGACGTCTAGTTTTTTGAGGTAGATTTTGAACCCTTTGATAATTTCAAAAAATTTCTCTAAAATTATCATTTTATGAACAACTTTTTAAAAATTTCCAAATCTTTTGTTGAATAAAACAGTTCAAGACATCTCCAAGTAAAATTTAAGGGTCTTAAACAAAAATCAGTTTAGAGAAAATCATTTTTGAAAGATTTTTTCCATCCAAACTGGTCAAATGTAAGCCCGCTATAAAAAGCGATTTATAACCAATTCAACTTTTTTTTTGCATTGAATATTGTTCATAACAATTTTTGAACGATACTCCAAAAATACTACAATAGCGAACTTCATATTTCCTTTGAAAGAAACCGACGAAAACCGTTAATTTAGGCCTTCTCACCTTGACATGGTTCCTATTAGATGCTCGATATGTTTTCTTTTAGAAATTTACAATTCATCCCAAAATCACTCTAACAGATAAATGATTGATGTGTGCGCTCTCCTCTGATTTTTCTTCTTGATTCTGCCATACAATCTAGATGTCCCACAGAGAGAAAAAGTTGTTAAATATATCTTCCCAAGGTTTTCCAATAACTCATTTCACGTTTCGAAATGACATCAGAGCAGAACACGGGGTCGTCGCCACAAATCTTGTACGTGTATCGGACGACACGGGGTGGAAAATTGAGAAGTTTCCGGATTCCTGGGAAATGACTAGGTTATACAAGTAATCCATCTCATGTATCCCGCGCTCTAGTTTCATTTTTCGCTCCCCGAGCAAATTTTGCAGGAAAATGGTCTTTCTATTTTGAACGTCACTCCTTTTCTCCGTTGTCTTTTCTCTCTCGCGCCTTGTTTTTGAACAGTAGAGAGCTCAACATTTCAGATAAGAATTAGTTCTCACTAGTGGATTATGACTATATTGTACAACATGTCAAAGATTAGAGTTTGGCAACTTTTGACTTGCTTTTTGAAGTTTCCTTCTCTTTCGATACACATTCAAAGATAATTTTTTTGTCTCCAATCAATTTCAAACCTGAAAAATAATCACTGGGTGGTATTGCATTAATCATCTCGAATGCCAATGTGTCATGGCATAGGCATACAAACTCGACGATATATCCTAGTTGTCAGAACACGCCAGCTGACGTTCAGTGAGAGAAACGATAGGGAGGTTTGTAAGAAAAGAGACCTTTTAGTATGGCGGTGAGGAGACACCGAGAGAGATAGTCTATGGGCCATTTTCTCGGGGCGATTTGCAGGTGTCAACCGCAGATTTATCAAAATCTGAATGTTGTTTCAGTGGTTATACTCATTTTCTTTATTGAAAAAGTTCATGAGTCGGTGTTTCCATTTGTTTCCAATTTGCTCATTCGTTTCAAATGTTTCGAAACGGATCTAGTTTTAAAAAAGCACATAAATCAGAGACTGCAAATGCGATGTGTAGCAATTGGCAGCTAACAAAATGCAACATTTTTCGAAAAACAAGCCAGTGGGATTTTTTTCAGTGGGATTTTCACGTGTCGCAGTTTGACACTACACATTTTTTATAGGTAATAAAATCAAACCCGCTGAGCATCTGTTCTTTTTCATTTTCGTTTTAGGGGCAATCAAAAGGTTCTTAAAATTTTAGAACGAGTTCATGAAGATAATTAATTGTTGCTTTTATTGTATATTGTGTGAATTTCATATTTTACAGTCAACAATAATTCACCATCAGCCTTTCTCAATGATTTTCTTGTTGATACCGATTTTCTTATAATCCTCTTTGCCCCTTTAAAAAATCATAAAATATACATTTTTCATAATATCCTATTTTTGTTTTTCCAATGTTCAAAACCAGTACCGCACATAGTTCTCCTGAAAACTGGTGTAATCTCTTCAGCTACTCAGCGTTCGCCTTTTGTCTCAACTCGTGTAATTTCACTTGTTTACAACAACCACAACAACCCATCCCCACCTCCCGTCTCCGCTACCACAATGATTTATTCACGACAGTTTCCGTTTACTTTTTTCCAGAAGCATGGGAATGGCCCAACAATATAACCCAAGCGACGCGTTTTTCTTCGGAGAAGCCTACACGACGTTCAATAATAGAATGCATGTTACGGTAAGATTTTTTGTTTTTGAACAAATTTAAAATGTGAAAAATAAAATTAATATTTTTATTTACTGCGTTGTTAGCCAAATTAGCTAAATAAAATATTCTTTCAGGTCGCCGCCCGGATAATTCTTGCCGTTGAGCTAATAATGCTATTTATTACCGTAGTCATTGTCCCGTTGACTATAGGATTTTTCGACACGATCTCCTTATTTCAAATTCTAGTATGCGGATCCATTTGGGTCATGGCGTGCTTAGCATTGCGACGACATAGACACGCTTTGCTCTGGCCTATGATAATTATGAAGGTTGGCGTTTTTCTATATACATTATCAGTACAAAGATACTCATAAACATATTTTTATTCAATTTTCGGTCATTTGGACTATTTTCAGGAATCTGGAGCTCGGCGGTCAAGTTTTCAATCACTTTGAAAACTTTGGAGGATGTGAAACAAACCTAAATTGGAACTATGCATTCACAGAAATTTCGAAATTTATATTTTTCCCTTTATTGGCCGATTTTTAATGACACTTTTTTCCTGTTTTCAGTTGAAAGGCGAGCCAAAAAGAGGTATTTCGGGAATCGGCAAATACTTGGAAAACTAGGAGTTTTACAAAAATTTCTGTGAATGCAAAGTTTTCAATCTAATATTGTTTCAAACCCTCACAAATTTTCAAAATGATCGAAAACTTGGCAGCAGCGCAAGTGCTCCAAATGACCAAAATCGGATTAAGAATAATATAGTGACCGATTCTGTAATTAAACGAAAAATTGCTTTACAGGTCTGTGAAATTATCCTTGGCGTATTCCTAATAGTGATCGCTGCACTATTAGCTGTGGTCCGTCGACGTGTTCTTCTTCGGTTGATGCAATGGAGGATAACCACAATTGATCGTAAGTCATATATAAAGAATTACCCCAATAAAAAATTATTTTCAGACTCCAACCAAGGCATTCACATCATTGCTTTATTGCTTTTCATGTTCCTTCAAATTGTGTACAACACAATAGCCGTCCAAACACTATGGGACGTGTTTGAGTATCTTCGACAACGAACGTATTTCATATACAATCAGGAGCGCACCGCGGTGCACCAGTATTTTTTGTGAAAGACACCTTCTATATTTTATTTATTTTTTACTTCAATTTTCTTCTCAAAAATTTACGATTTCGGGCCAACCATTCAAATTTGTGATGTTTAAAATGTGATCTTTAGGGAACGAAAATTCTAATCTCCTAGAGCTTTAGTTGGCTGATGTTTGACTATCTATTACTGCTACTCGAATAAATTTTTCAGCTAATTTTGTCTTCTGGTGGCATTTTCAGATTTAATTACAAAAACAAAAGGGCGTGTTGAGCCCATTCATTCTGTTCGTTTTTTCTGAAAACGGCGTTTCTTGTTGAGATGGATAGTTTTCGAACTTTAATTGATTTGAAAAATTCTCCATCACCAATTAAAATAAGTAGAGATTACTCATTTGGGAGTGGCGCTTCGTATCTCTTCCTAATTTTTTTTCAATTTATTTTTTATCGTTAAAAAACGAACTTTGCTGTCTCCCGTAAAACCCTTCCTTGTTCTTGGTATCTGTCTGTTTAGATCAGCTCCTGTTCCGCAAGTCACTTTGAATCATCTTCAAAAAAGTTTCAATGAGATTGACATCCATTTCTTTTTTTCGGTAAAATTGGGGTGGTTTTTTCCCATTTATTTTTTGTTGTCTCTTTTTTTCTATATAGGATAAACTACATTTAAATAGCATGAAAATAGCAAGTATCTTCTCACTGCGGGTCGTCACTTTTCTCTGAATAACATCAGCCGTTGCTAGTGTCGAATTACGTGTACACTTTGGGGAAACAGAGAGAATGAAGTAGAAGTTGAGAAAGAGAGGGAAAACCTTGTTTTTGAAGATGAAGATTATACTTTTTTCTAGATTTTGTTCTCTGCTACCAACAAAGAGAAAAAAGTTTAACGAGCAAAATTGTCTCCCAGCCAAAACATGAGGAGAAAAATGGGAGAGAGCATCCCAAAAACCGAAACGACAATTGAATTTGAAAACCTCAAAGTTTTTACTGCTGAACAGAATATGCAGACAAAGTTATCTTTGTCACATTCCCCCAGAACCACCAAACAACACATCCCATATACTTTTTCTTACTTAATAAATCGCGTCATTCCCTTGAAAACCCCTAAAAAATTGACTCTATTGTGGAAAAAGAAGGATAGAAGATAATACGATTATCTTACTCGCAGAAAAAAAATTGAAAATGGTTCTAATTCTTTTTTTTTTGTTCCTTGTATGGCCTTCCCTAAGCTAGACCAAGGTCGAATTTTATATAATAGAACTATAAAAGTTTATAGTACAATAGATCACGAATACAATCTAACAGTAGCTGTACGAGAACTTTTTTGTTGGTAAGATTTTTATTTGATTTCATTTTTCTTTTATTACTTTGTTATCATAACCTAAAGAGAACGCACCCCCGAAAACTTGTTTTTTTCTTTCTTCTCATTCCTGTGACACCGGAAAAGTGATACTACAGCCATTTGAGACGGTCGTATTTCTTCCTACTCGTCCTACCCACAATTTTGCCAACCCAAAGGAACGATCCCAACACAGATCCTTGTCTTTTTGTGTTTATTTGCTTAACAGCTTTACCTTGTCGCGCACTTGACGGTATCCATATCACAAACAGTAAAATCAACTTTTGTCAAATTCGATTTGTCTGGCTTTTTTTTTCAAAAAATTTTTTGAAGAACAAAAGTCTTGACTCCTCCTTTTTTTTCTTTCAATCCAAACAATGTTCATTTTGTTTATATTTAATATTTCCTTCATTAATTTAAAAAATCAGAAAATAAATTTTTTGATACTTAATCGTTTTCAGATGAAGCGCAAAAACTCAAAAAAGTTTTATTACTGGGCAAATATAATTAATCAACCATTGATAAAAAACACACTCCGTCTGAAAATAAAACAGCTTTTTTTTATTCTTCAATTTCTTTAATTGTTTCAGTGTGGGCGGTGATAAAAATGCTCACGTGTTAGGTCTGATGAAAAAAGGGCATTCACCCCACTATAAAACTTTAAACCCCCACACGGAGCTCAACCATTTTTTTACGTTTTATCCCATTTTCTTTAGTCTCAACTCTACAGAGAAAGAAGTACGAAAAAACGAAAACCCTTGAGAGAAAGAAGAAAGAAAACATTGAAATTCAAGTAAGATGATCATTATGAAGTGTGAGGGCGTTTAGGAATTATTTTTACAAATGTTTCTTTTGCCCTTTTCTCCTAGAGCCTCTCCTTCTAGTGCTCCAGAGGCTGCTCTTCCGTTTCAAATAGATCACTTTTCGTGTCGACAGCTGTTCGTCATACTTTCAAAAAATTATGAGGTATCGTTTGGTAGGAAAGATCAGGGTGCCAACCGAAAGGCTCTTTCTCATCACTCGTCACCTTGGACGACAAGCGGCGTGTTTGACAACAGCACCCCATTTTTCTTATATTCTCGATCAATTGGTTTTTCTCACTTTGGGTGACTCCTATCTCTTTTTTCTGATCTTAACACATTTTTTGACGAATCGCAGTTTGTTCAACACTTGTTTCGTGTTTTGTTGGACTTCAAAAGCAGGTGGAATTTATTTTGAAAGCGGAAATTGAACAAGAGACTTTTGCCCTATTTTTTCAATCTCCGGTTTTTGACAAGTTGAGAGCTAAAAATATATGTATTCAACTTACAAATAAGTTATATAAAAATGCATTTTTCATTTGATTTTTTTTCGATTTTTAAAATGTTTTGAAAATTTTCAGAGACCCGGAGCTCCGCTGTCGAGTTTCCGAGCACTGGGAAAAATTTGGAAGTAGTGAAACAAACATACATAGGTGGAAAAATTTGCATTCGCAAAATTTTTTTTAAATCACCTTGCTTTTCTTTTTGCCGATATTTGAATATCATCTCTTTTGGCCCGTTTTTGTATTGAAAATGTTGTGTCTTTCAGAAATCGGCAGATAGCTGAAAAACTAAAAATTTTAGAAATATTTTGTGAATGCAAATTTTCCAATCTAGGTCTGTTTTCCACCCTCCATAAAGCCCTGAGTTATAGAAAACTTGACAGTTGAGCTCCAGACTCTTGAAAATGGTCGAAATGGCCGAAAACCAACTGAAAAATACTTTTTTTGGAGATCTAATAGACTAGCACTGTATCAATATACGCTTTCTTTGCTATCAAATTTTGGCTAGAATGTATTTTGTGCCAAAAAAGTTCCCTAATTATCGAGTCAGAATTGAAATGCATGACCCAATATAGGGGACAAAAGAAAGAACAATTATCTCTTCTTCATTTCCTTTCTTTTTCCTTTTATGTCTTTCTCCATCTTCTACAACATTCCAATATTCTCAGTTTTTCAATCAGATGGTCAGCGCCACTGGATTACGTCAAAAGCAAATCAAATTGAAAGTGTATTAAAATTTTCAATTTTATAGTAAACCAATTTTAGTCTAGTTTTTGTGACCAACTTCTCGTATATTTTTATAAGCAAATTCTACCGTAATCCCTTCTGTTTAACCCCAAGGTTTCTTCCCCTGTCACTTCAAATTTCTGTCATATTCCATTTTTTTTGCCTTCGTCCTTCGCTTTTGGCAACAAAGCCTATCATTATCTCTTCACTCAAAAAAGTTTCGAAACTTGGGCAGACTGTCACTAAGGTCGTCAATTTTTCAAGTGACAGTACTTTACATTTTGATGGAGCGAGAGTTATAGGATCCGCCCACGAATGCATCGGCGCAATAAATAAACAAAATTGTCTGTCGTCAATTTTTTTTCCTACTTCTGCATTTTGATTTTTATTCCTCATTTTTCGACGAGACAAACGATTTGATCGGTGATCGTAGACAAGTTTTGAAAAAGAAAATGTAAGTAAACCATTTCTGAAAGTTCAACTTGTCAATCAAAGTGATTCAAGAGGTTCTTCTTATCTAGATTTCATGATTCTTCTTGTTTCCTTGTTCCCAAATAGAGTATCCCTTCTTTTTTTCACATTTCTCTGTCGTCAATTATCACTGATGTGTCTGAAGATCAAATTGCAGTAATTTGTGAGCGCGTGTGTCAGTCTGATTTTGTCAAAAAAGAAAAAAATCGGTGTGTTTCAAAGAAAGAAATGCCGCCAGACACTCGGATCAACAAAGAAGTCGTGAGGATGCTCCCGATCGTTGTGTTTCAGTTGTTTAGAGATCTTTAGTTTCCTTCTTCGTGTTTCTCCTCCCACTTATCCACTTTTTTCCTTTTTTCATTTCCTTTATGCATGCTGATCTGACAACACAATCTTCATTATTTTCTGTTGTGGCCTACTACTTCCCCCGGAAAAATAGAACAACGTTGTTTTATGTGGCAAAAAAAGAAACATCTTGAGTCTACAACAACCGGACAACTCTAATGAGGAATTTTTCGCGTGCAACGGGCATAACATCTTCTTCTCATTCTTCTTCGTTTTCACTACTTTTCACATCTCATTTTTGGACAACTAACCCTCCCGAATACAAGAATATGTACATTTGTTAGCATCTTTGAGTATTTTTCAGTGTCTTCATCGTCTTTATATTTCTATTCGTTGTAATAATTTTAGTCCGACTTTTTGATTTGAAACAAATTGTGTTAAATTTCAGATGGTATCTTGGTTACGGAAGAATCTGCTCCTAGTGATGACGGTCGGCTCCGTCGTCCTGGGAGCCGTTTTGGGTTTTCTGTTCCGCGGATTGCAGCTCTCGCCACAGGTGAGCTACTGTAGAATTTTGTTCATTTCCACAAATTTTTAGAATATCATGTACATTAGTTTCCCCGGAGAACTTCTCATGCACATGCTCAAAATGATGATTCTTCCACTTATCATGAGTTCTCTAATTTCTGGTCTCGCTCAATTGGATGCTCGCCAATCGGGAAAACTTGGATCTCTTGCTGTCACCTATTATATGTTCACAACTGTTGTTGCTGTCATTGTAAGCGTTCAAAAAGTTTCAGACAAATAGTTTGGGGTTTCAGACTGGTATCTTCCTGGTATTAGTGATCCATCCTGGAGATCCGACCATCAAGAAAGAGATTGGAACTGGTACCGAAGGAAAGACAGTCAGCACCGTGGATACCCTCTTGGATCTTCTCAGAAACATGTTCCCAGAAAATGTCGTTCAAGCCACCTTCCAACAAGTTCAGACCAAGTATATCAAAGTTCGGCCGAAAGTGGTGAAAAATAATGATTCTGCGACATTAGCAGCGTTAAACAACGGAAGTCTTGATTATATCAAGGCTTCCGTTGAGTACACTTCTGGAATGAACGTTCTTGGTTAGTTTTGGGACATTTATAAGAGAGAAAACCGCTTGAATAACGTTTTTTTAGATTTCGGGCCAATCCATACCGTAATTGAATAAAAGCCCACCCTATACTATCACTTTGACTCCGATTTTCCCGGTTCCTTCAAGAGATACCAAGAAGTGGTCAACTGATAAAATGGTTTTGATATTACTAAAAACATTTTCTCAGTTGACAAATTTGTGAGATCTTTCACAGGAATCGATAGTTGAGCTTCTATTAAAGCATTAACGGTACTCTACAAGAGCTCTGATATTTTCAGGAGTCATTGTCTTCTGCATCGCTATCGGAATTAGTCTCTCCCAACTTGGACAAGAAGCTCACGTCATGGTCCAATTCTTCGTTATCATGGATAAAGTTATCATGAAGCTTGTCATGACTGTCATGTGGTACTCTCCTTTCGGAATCTTGTGTTTGATCATGGGAAAGATTCTCGAAATCCATGACCTTGCCGATACCGCTAGAATGTTGGCCATGTACATGGTCACCGTTCTCTCTGGACTTGCTATTCATTCTTTGATCTCGCTGCCACTGATCTTCTTTATCACCACCAAAAAGAACCCGTACACTTTCATGAGAGGACTTTTCCAAGCTTGGATTACAGCTCTTGGAACTGCTTCCAGGTAAAAAAAAAAGGACGGGGTCAAAGAATTCGATTCGAAGTTCAATATTCCAGCTCTGCCACTCTCCCAATCACCTTCAACTGTCTCGAGGAAAAGCTGGGTGTCGACCGTCGGGTCACTCGCTTTGTCCTTCCAGTCGGAGCTACTATCAACATGGACGGAACTGCTTTGTACGAAGCTGTCGCTGCTATCTTCATTGCTCAAATCAACGGAGTTCATCTCTCCTTTGGACAGGTCGTCACTGTTAGGTAAGATAATCCAATATAGAATTATGGAATCCAATATATACTTCAGTTTAACCGCTACATTGGCTTCCATCGGAGCTGCTTCTGTTCCATCTGCCGGTCTTGTCACTATGCTCTTGGTGCTCACCGCCGTCGGTCTTCCAGTAAAGGACGTTTCTCTTATTGTCGCTGTTGATTGGCTTCTGTAAGACCTCCTAATTTTGAACTTCATGATTGTTTTTTTTGTAGCGACAGAATCAGAACCTCCATTAACGTTCTCGGAGACGCTATGGGTGCCGGTATTGTCTATCACTATTCCAAGGCCGATCTTGATGCTCATGACCGTGTAGCTGCTACCACCAGATCCCTTTCCATCGGTATTTAGATTTAATGATTTCTAATGAATATCTGAAATATTTACAGCTATGAACGACGAGAAGAGACCATTGGCGGTGTACAGCAGCCTCCCAACCGACGACGACAAACACACTCATTGATAACCTCGACATCTATTTCATCTTGAAATTCCTTTACTTTTTCGTTTTGATATATCTTTCAACAATTAGCTTTTTCTCGCTTCCATTGTATTCTCCCAAAAAAATCTTTTCTCATTAATGCTCGGTTTCATCACCCGACGCTCCCTTTACATGCTAACCCGATGCTTCTAGAATTCCCCCCCCCCCTCCCCGATGAGCTTTTTGACTACAATTAGGATATATGTTCCAAAATTTAGTCCATTTTCGAATTTCAGCTTCTCATACTTTCATAATAAACTCCCATGTTGCGTTGCCTGGACTAATGGCGTCGCCAAATGCAGAGCAAAAGAGACAGGCATTGTGAGGTTTGGCACGGGCAATAAAAGCTTGGCCTCACCTTCTTATCACTCGCTTCGCGATGTGTTCACAGAGGCTGGTAGGTAAGTATTTTTCTCCTCTTTTAAATGTCTGAAAAGGTTGAGAGCAAATGGTAAAGCTTGAAAGAAAGATCAAAGAGTCTCAAGTTCAAGAGCTAGAATACTGATCAAAAATGTCCCAGTGACCAAATATTTAAAACAAAAAAATATAAATTTCAGAAAAAAGTACCTGCAAAAATTCGTAATGATAAATTACATGCAGACATTTTTGACTATTTTTAGAAGAAATTTCAATTTCGGTCATTCAGCAGCACTGTAAACGGAGTTTCTCGTACTCAGGATTTTTTAATTAAACAATCGTGTATCTGAAGCACTTTACGAAAAAGTGAAATAGCCTGTTTAGCGAACTTTAAGGACGTACTGTAAAACCTGTAATAGAAAGTCTTCCAATCCGTTTATTGTGAACTACTTTTTTGGCTGCTATGCCTGATATCGAAAATGTGTCAACTTACAAAACTGTTCTGATATTATGATACTTATTAGTTTTATTTATACTTTTGACATAGACCGGAAGTAATATGTCAAAATTTAAAATTTAGGAGTCCTTCTATTAAAGGTTTCACGGATTTTGGATTTCAGGATGTGTTGATTAGAATGTTTCACGATTTACCGAACTGTGCCATATTTTAGGATTTTCGAGAATGTAGAACATGACTACTATTTTCAGAACTCCCATAAAACATTATATTTCCTTCCCCACCCATCTCATCTCCAAATTTGTATTTGATCTGTGAGTCGGGGTGTTTGAGCGCTCTGAAAAATATGAATCAGTGTTATTTCTTTCCTTTTTTTATTTGCATTTGACTACTTTTATTACTTGGCAAAGATGTCGTTACACACACGTCAGTCCAAGAGAGAAAGAGAGACTGTTTCAATTTTTATCTTAAACGAGAACGATTATTAACAATTGAATTGCTTTTTATCAGTGTCAAGACGTGGCAGATTATATAGTTCTTCCACGGTTAACCCCATTTTTGTTGGCAGACACCGGGAATGGGTTTCTCCGAAAATTCGGGAAAAATTGACTGAAGATATGGAAAAAAAGAAACATCTGTAACAAAAATTATTGGGAACCAAATTAAACCGTGGAATCAGAAATCAAAGAGAACGCCTTCACTCTGAACAGTGCGTTTTCGCAATTTCACAACCATATAATCAAATCGTCACCTTTTTCGGAATAAGCCTAATCGATTCAAACTACTGATAATGCCATTTAGCAGTGTCACCGATTCCAACAGTGCACAATGATTTTAATGGGGTGTAACCAGGGTGTGTATGTGTATGGAAATGTAAAACAAAACGATGCAATAGGTGATATGACTCAAGAATAGCATAGACTGAGAGTCAGAGAGAGGGTGGGAAGAGTCTTGATTTGATTAGCTGAACCGTGCTCCGCACTTTTGCTCCGCCGTCGCACCCGATGGATCTTCTTTTAGTGATACTACTGGCTGCGTTCTGCACAACCGCCAGTGCCGTCGACAGTGAAGGAACTAACTTTGTCTTTGGTTTCGTCAGAAACGCTAATGACACAAGTATCGCAAATCAGGTCCTTACGGTCTCCGGTAATATTCCAAATGTAATTGTGTTCAAACGTTTTCCTTTTATAGTCCTCAACCAAAATGCTCAAGACTGCCAATTCACATTAACCTACCGTCCGGACTATCACAAATACACACCGCCCCAGAACTTGTCAGTCACAGTTCCAAAAATGGGAGCTATTGAGGTTTGTTAAAATTTTGATATCTTTAAGTAATTGAAACAAGAATTCAGGTGCAAATTCCGAGCTGGTATGGATGGAATTACGCGATTACCAGCGTTCAGGATGACGTGTTCTTGACACTAATGGGATTCTCTACGTGTCCAGTGACCCTGCTTGCCAATAATTATGATATTTCGACCGGACAAGGAGATACGTTCATGGGTAAGTATTGTTTTTTGGGATGATTTGAAATTCTTTCTCCGGAATCATCAAAATTCATGTAGTGATCAATCTGCCCTTATAAGATGAGTTAGCCGGAACTGAGCAATCAGTTCCATCTTCTTTTTTTGAAAATGTCTAAAAACAATAAAACATGTTCGATATTGTGGGAGGAGACAAGACATTTTCAGATTGTTAAACAAAAATAATGCTAATTGTAAGATAAACCGTTTGAAAGTGTCGCGTCTTCAAAATCAATGCTATTGCTGAAGTTTTGGCTATTGATTTGTTTTGAGAGGTATATTTCATTCTGATGAAATTCAAAAAAGGTTGTCAACTACGCTATTGAAAATATACTCTTGTACAGTTGGCCTGGAAAATTTCCGTTTAATTCAACAGCATTAACAATATTGTTTCAACAATTAAAGTAGGTTATTTTCTACAAAAAATAATGGAACAAACTTCTAACCAGTGCTGTATGCTGAGATGCCAATTTTTAAGAATATTGATGGGTTCCGATAGAGACCGTATTTTTTTTCTGGAACCGAATAGTTTTTAAATTTGTAAAAAGAAATTTTAACACTTTCTTAGTTCGAAATCAGCTTATTCTGCATTTTTGAGCAATGACGCACAATTGTTCGAAAAATCAAGTTGATTAAAATTATTCATTAATCATGTCTTCCATCTACTTTAATTACCTTTATCATGAAATGCCAAGATATGACATCAAATTTACCAAACGAAAACTATGCAGTTCTACCTACAACTTGGGGATCTAAGAGCTTCACATTCTCGCTGCCACCAGCGGTCTTGTCTGGCACCTATCAGTACGAGCAGATTCTCGTTCTTCCAACTACAGAGGTATTTTTTCTTTTTTCACAATATTCCTGAGGACCTTTTCCAAATCTTTCAGGGAACCACTCGTGTTAACGTTGTCGAAATCGGTAACGGTCAATCCTTCTACAGTTTCAATGTCACTTATGGAAACGCCCCAGCCGTTTACATTGGAACTCGCACCCCAGATAAACGTCCACGTACTTATCATGTGACTTCTGATAAAGATGTTCTGGTTAGTTTTCTCTTCCACTAGGAGTTTTTATTACATGGAGAGCATTTTATTGCTCAATTAGAGATCAACATCATTTCGTATTCAGATTGTTGCCGGAGTCACATGCGCTGGAGCCGATATAACCACGTGCGATCATGCGGCTTATATGCCTCATCCGCCAGCAGCTAGCGGTAAGAGCTTTGCAGATTGATCAACTTTCCGCCCTCACAAATCTCATTGCTATACAAGGATAATCTAGGAGTTTTTTATGCATATCATGAATAGTAAAATGAACCTGGATTGATGAAAAAACACAAAGAAAATGTGATCAATTAAGATTGCTATGCATACGACTACTACGACGATGATCATGTCAGCTACCTGCCAACAACCACACAATTTTTCACCGACATTCCTGGAACATGCTTGGTTGGACAAAATGTAAAATTTGAAATAGAAAAAAACAGACAAAAAATGAGTAATTCCAGATCACAAGCATACTGAATGATGGGGTTGCCAAAACAATAACTATCAAGCCACAAATGGAATCTCCACTTTGGACGATCCAAACTACAAAACCTGATCAGACCGGAGTTGCTTTTCACAACGGGTAAGACACTTTATGAAAAAATTATTTTTCGAGAGACGAAATTGCGACTATATAAGATTACGTTTCAGAGGATCCAACATCCACATCGCCAGATACTATGATGGTACCAAGTACAACTCTCGTGGAGCATTCATTGCAACATCTCCATCTATGACTCAGTTCCACGCCGACAGCACTTCTTTTTACACTAGAAACGCCAACGACTCGCTAGAAATTTATTGCACCGTTCTGACCTGTGCTAAAATTACTATTGATACAAAGCGAATTTCTATTGCGGACACAAAAGTTGTGCAAAGTGTTGATGGCACCTCTTATTACATTTTTGTTATCACTATTGCAAACGCTGGATTCCATCAGATCTACTTGGATCCGAACACAAAAGGAACATACTCGTTCTTCGTTTTTGGAAAGAACAATCAGTACTCCTACGGTTATGTGGGAGGAGTCAACAGTAAAACATCCTTAGAAATTTCCGGGAAAATAATAAATTACAGAGCCAACATTTGTTCTCGCACCTGCCACTAGCCCAGGACCAACCACTACTGGCCCGACTACACTGACACCACCATCAACCGTAACTACTCAAGTAAAAATAATTTTTAATTTGAAATTTTGAAAAAAAAATCGTTTTCCAGGCGCCAACATCAACTGCCACGCCACCCGTCACCGCTCCCCCATCATCCTCCCCTGTCACAAGTAAGCAAACTAGTACCCCGATACCTCCTCAGACCAGTTCCACCTTGGTTTCCACACCGGCCCAAACAACAGCTTCTATCCCATCCCTGCCCACTACTGTAACCAAATCCCCAACTTTATCAACAAATACGCCATCATTAATGACCAGTACAGTATCTCAACCAGCAATAACTTCTAGTAAACCTGCTATGACCACTATGACCACTCAGCATGTTTCCACTAGCACCCTACCATTAGGTTCCACCGCTACTGCTACCCTTCCTGCGCAAACCACCATGACAAACACGCCAGTGGCTTCCACTACCCAACCTGCTGCTAAGTCTACTGTCACTCAGCCAGTTATGACAACCAAAACTACTATTCCAGTGGTCACCACTACTCAGCCGCCATTAGTGTCTTCTACCGTAACCCAGCCAGCGATGACCACCAAGACTACTGTGGTTACTGAACCCGTAGTCACTTCTACAGTTACTCAACCTGTAATGACAACCATGACTACAATGGTTACTCAGCCCATTGTGACTACTACAGTAACCCAACCCGTTATGAGTACCATGACAACTAAACCAGTGATTACTACCACCCCTCCTGTAGTGACCACTACTTCAGTGACTCCGGCAGCTACATCATCTACGGCGGCTCCAACAAACCCACCAGTCACGACTACTCAGCCTGCAGCTACATCAACTCCAACTGTCGCAACTGTAGCTCCGCCAGCTTCCACCAGCACACAGCCAGTAGTGACTACTGTAACTGTTCCTGTAGTAACCACCCAAACTGTTCCCAACACTCCACCCCCATCTTCATCGGCTGCTCCACCGACTTCTACGGTAGCTACCACGACTAAAAATGTTCCCGGTAAGCTTTAGCTTCGGTTTGGGTTGGGCAGTTTTTTCTTGAATTTTTGCACTGTACACATCATTTGGTTTTTTTTACTTTTCAGTTGTCACAACACCAACCACCGCAGCAACCACCACAACTAAAGCTGCTGCAACCACACCAACAACAGTGGTCACGACGCCAACGGTTCCAGTTACAACTCCAACAACTCCAACAACTACAAAGCCAACACCAAAGGTAGTAACCACTCCGACAACAGTAACTACACAAGCTCCAAGTACTTCAACTCAATCCTCATCGATAGTTTCTACAGCTCTTCCAATGGTTCTTACCATTTTCGTTGCTCTCTTTCTCTAAAGTGCGTATAATTTAAATTATCATAACTTTATACTTTTATGTCTGTGTCACAATAAAGGGTTTCAAAAATTGAAAAGAAATTTTGCTTCATTTCGTTTTATTTCATCGTTTCCCCTCTAGAACAATACTGAATTTCCAGTCACAGTCATGAAGAAATAAAAATAATAATGAAAACCCGACCTGGTGTGTCTGTTATCAGTTGTGTTGGACAAATTCTATGTCTTCAACTATGCATGATTCATTTCTATCATAGAATCAAATGAAATCATAAAAATAATGCATTTTATTTCATTTCACAAGTTTTCCTTTTTTGGGTAACACAGTCAGTGGGATAGGGGGAGAAGAATTAAGAACACAGAATTTTTGTAAGAGATCGATGCGTTTAATAATCAGGGTATGGATGCAAAAATAAGTTATTTTCCGATAGATAAGGCCAAATAATGATGCAGGTAATAATTTAGTGAGAGAAATCAAATGAGATTGTTGGCTTCTGAATCGACACTTTTCTGCATAGTCTTCAAGCAGCACATCAACTGTTGGAGCATCATGGAGCAGACCAAAGAGTTGTTGTTGTTTGGGAAATCACCCAACTCATCCGACGGAGCACTTTCAAAACTTCCGGTGCTTTTTACAATACGCTTTCTTCTGCGTGGCCGGTAGACGTAGTCAGGGTAAGTGATGAAGTGCTCTTCACGGAGTTGTTTGGCCTGTAATTCATCACAATGAACATTAAAGGGTTTCCCTTTAACTCACGCGCTCAACAAATGGAACTTTTTCCTCATCAGCCATCGCGCGCCACTCGACACCTAACATTTTTGAAATATCGGAATTGTGAAATTTTTGTCCGGTTGCCGAAATTTGTTGACGCCGTTGTTGTGACCACACCTAGAAATTAAAATTGCATATTCGATCAGATGATAAGGTGAATAACCATAAATGCATTCATTGGGCGTTTGATTCGTTCTTCGCGTGGGCTCACAGCTGACATCTCACGTTTGGAGCATCGTTTGGTTGCTGAGGACTTCATGGATGCCATGAACTTTGAAACCATATCTTCATCGGGCATGTCGGCAACGAGCTTGAAATCAAAAGGGTCCGATGGAGCGTCGATTGGGGTTTGTGGAATCGCCATATCAGAATCCGTGGAGCTTCGGCGGGATCTTTCAGAATCTCTTCCGTTGGTGGCATCACTAGCAGACATTACCAATGCCATGATAGCAGCTTGATCCATAACAAAAGGAAATCCTATTGGCAGAGGAGGTGATGTTGTCTGAAAATAAAAATGAATTCATTATTCTTTCAAAACCGCATGTATACAGAAATATTATATCGCTTATTCTCGAGCCATTGTGTGGAGACAGGTGAACAAGAGAGAATTAATGAATCCCGAGTCTCAGCCCCCTTCTGTCTCATTATCCACAGATACAAAATATGTGTTTTGTTACTGATGGTAATAACGAGAATAGAAGGGAAAAAAGGGAAGAAATGACAAAATGAAAGGGAAGCGACAATTGATCTGATGAGATACAAGAAACCCGGGAAAAGAAATGAAAGAATGGTATGACGGTTAAGAAATGAGGGAAAAAACGTTTGTTCAGAAATGAATGATTAGCAAGCAAGTGTCGTATCAATGTTTGTGCTAGATTGTTTATGGAAGTTCACGGGGCATCTCGCCCGCCTCTTTTGTCTTTCTTGACTTTTTTGACTGACGTGGCAAGTTTTCCAGAAAACAATAAAATGAAAAAAAGTTGAGATGTTAAATTAGGCAAAAACAATTTTGCAATTTTGCAAGTGTGAGAGTCATGAAGAAGCATTTTCTCCCGCATGCGCACGCCCCACATTACAACACCGGACTTCACATGGACTTTTGTCGTCGCTTGAAAGGACATTTTGTAGTTCTGCAGATGTAAATGGACTTCGGACTAGATTCGAAGAAGGGATCAAGCACAAGAGGGTGAAGAAATGAAGGTGGAGACAAACTGAGCATATGCTTTTATATTTATATATGTATATAAGGGTGGAAGAAAGAAGGCGGTGCCCGAAAGGATGAAGATTCGAGAAGAAAGGGAAAGAAGAGGGAGCCTTCTTATTCTCAATTCATGAGCCATTGTATTTCGCTGGGATTACATATCTTTGGAGGGTACCACCTGATCAGGAGGGGAGAAGAGAAGAATTGGTGCATTTACAATAACATAATGGCCGGTATTCATGTGCAAAGCTCCTTTTATTGCTGACAAAGCTACCAACACAACTTTTGTTAATCTTGTGAGAACGAGAGAAAGAGTGCCTTCTTGAATAAAGGCATAATTTGTAAATGGAAATGGGTTATTGTGATTGAGATTGTCTATTTACACTAGTTTCAATGGAAATTCTCTTAAAATCTTGTGGAGGTGTGAGTTGTCACGAGCAGCAACGAAAGTATACATTTTGTGGGATTCGACAACAATCAGATGATAATGATTCATTGTGTTTTGGATAAAGGGTATTGTGGAAGAAATATATTTCAAGAATTTTCGGAATTCAAATTTTGTTATGAAAATAAACAAGGGGAATATAATATTACTCTGCAATCGTTGAGAGCGGATCTCGTTAGGTTTTTTTAAAGGCGCAAGAACAACTGTATCATTTGAGCCTATTCTAATGTAATTTTCCTATTTTCTCAAGTTTCGAACGATTTTACCACTTTACCAATGACTCCCAATATCAAAATTCGATTTTGTTTTCGAAAAAACGACAGAATCGTCGAAAATTGATAAAATGAAATAATACGATTTTTAAATTTTGAAAACAGACCAAACGAGTACGGTAGTTCGCTCTTGAGCCATCAAGAAAAATTTCACGAGATATCCGTTTTCAGAGTACGTTAATTTCAAACGACAGTAACAGTGCTCGCGCATTTTGCGTCGCCTTATTGATTCAAAGAAAACGAATTAAAAATTCAAAAAAAAATTCAAAAATTTGATATTTTGAATCCCATGAATTTACAGTACCCTACAAACTTTTTCATTAATATTGATTCCATTTTGTTAATGGCTTGAGAATTCTTCAGCCATGTTAAATAATTAAACAAACAAATTTATGTTTTGATTTTTTTATCATGTTCTCAGGGTCCCTTTATACTTTAATTTGTTTTTTCCCACAATAATTCTATGAGGTAAAAAACGCCAGCTTCACAAAAATCAGTTTCCCATGATACCTCCGCATTTCTTTTGGCTGAAACACTTGTTAACCTATAAGCTCCCAACAATGCTGATAACAACTTCTTCAAACTAAACATCACAGAAAATTTGTCATATAAGCACATGTGTGTTTACGCGAAACACTTTTTCCCTTCTTTCAATGATTCTTATTGTAATGTGACATAAAGAAACTATTTTTCCCGAGTATGTGCTCCAAATAACCAGTGGTCAACAAAAGCCTTATTCTTGTGATCTGATGGTTTGCAGAAATGGATTAATTCCTAATAAAGAATCACTTCACTGATTTCTGTTAGTGGCCCCCTTGGCACATTGTGTTTGGGAGAAACGTTTTGTTGACTTGGAAATTTTCGGTGGGTATTTTGAAAGATTTGAAAAATCTTTTGCTTCACAGAGTATTCATCCGCTGTTTGTATAAGCCTTTTCGAAAGATCATAACTAACAGAAGCCCTAGTACGTTTGTTGAAAGAGCTTGGACACAAGGAATGCAAAAGGAAGAGGAAAAAGTAATTACGAGAGGCATAAGGTTTCTCACCTTTCCCGTTGTCTAGCAGAGACAAAAGGTGCAACCACACCGCTTTGTTCTTTTGATTAAATGAGAATTGGGTTTGGCCTTATTCGCCGGAAGATAAACTTCATCTAGGGATGCAATATGCACTTCTAAGACACTAACGAGATATAAAGAATTTTGAACTCTTGGAAATTTCGAGAAATGCATTGAAGCAAGGTTGTAAGGAAGTAAGAGTTAATTAAGGACTTTGGTTTTCTGGACAAAAATATGAGTAACTAATGTGTTTTGATGGTTTAATTTCTGGCAAAAACACATTGATAACAAATAAAAGATTGTTTCAGCATGAGTAATACAAAAACTGATTTAAAAAATTATGACATAATGCAGTTGTGAAGACATAAATTGGTTCAATGCTCTATTAGAACTCCTTTGCTCTTCAAACTAAACTTTCATAAAAGATATCAAAAAGCTTATCACTGTTATAAAATTTGTCGAACTCGACTATTGTCTTGACTTTTTTGATATCTTTTCCAAACGTTTTGAGCTCAATTTAGGATAGTGTTCTATTGAAGTGTTTTGAGATACTGTAAATATTGAAAAAGACGTCAAGAAAGTACCGTATTTCCTCTAATAGAAACACACCCAAACTGACAACATTGAGCCTAATTATCCCAAATTCTCTGAAAGAAATGTTTCAATTGATAACAAGTGTATCATAACATTATAAATTTCATTTCTGTCAGATGATACATAATTTATATCTTTCACTGTATTCGAGATCATCGAGCTTGACGTTGACGGCAAGCTTCTATTAGAGGAAACACAGAGATGAGAAATTGAAAAATTTCAATTACAAAAATTTGTAAATGAAAGTTTTGGCTCTTGTTAGAAAAGTCTCTGCAACACGAAATTTTCCTCAATTTAAAACTTAAAAAATTGTTCCATCCTAAAACAGGTTTTACAACTCACCATCGCAATTTGAGACGCATAAGGTTGACAAGCCAATGGTAGCGAAAGCATATCTGCAAAATGTAGAAAAAATTATACATAAAACTTTACGGAAGAATAGGAATGACAAGGATGACAAACGGACTGCGCCATTTTTTTTTGTTTATAGAACATCATCTTTGCTATTGTTTACTAAAAACAAAAAGGTGAGTGAGGACAATACGATTGCAAAAAAATTGGAAGATGTTCATTGTTTTTGTTCTATCAATGACTCTCTTTTTTTTTCTTTCTAGAGTACGATTTTTGAAACAAAATGCTTTGTTTGACCTATGAAGGATTTCTAGATTCCTTAATTTTATACTACTCCTTGTTCTAAGTGGGGGTGTAATCTCATTGAGCTGTGGGCACTGCAAAAACGGATTAAAAATTTCCAAAGCTTGTAAAAGGACACCGGTCTGTTCAAGTCTAAAAGGATGGAGATCAAAAGAAGAGAGGGAGATAAAAGGATTTAGCATTCACATCCAGAACGATACACATTGAAAAGGTTTCTAAAGTTCAGAATCCAATGAGATTAGGAAAATCAGCTGCCCTTCTATTTCGGAAAACAAACACAGCTCTTTTTTCCATTAGTTTCTGCACGTCTTCAAACATCAGACCGGTACAATAAAGATTCAACTAAAGTTACGGAATGTTTCAACAAATGACGGTCGATTGAAAAAAGTAACCTAACAAGGAGAAAAAGGACAAGTGAAAAGAATAAAAGAGGAACGATTCATATTTGAACAAAGCAAATTGAACACTGTTGAAGGAAGAGGAAAAAGAAATTAGTCATTGAGCGGAAACAAAGTTTTAATAGTATTTCTATTATTGGGGGGTGGACTTGTGAACGCTTTGTCAACACCTTTGAGTACTTCCAAAATGAGACAAAAGTTTTTTATGAATGAAAAAGGATCTTGACCTTAACCTCAGAAATTTTCAATCAAAATGCACATAAATTATGTGTTGTTTCTTTCGCGTCAAATTGAAAAGCCAAATTGACAGTTGACAAATGAAACACGAAAGGATTTGAGTTATTGAGGCATGACCAAAGGTTTTGAAACGTGAATTTGCGAAAGGCAAAAACAAAAAATTAAAGAACTTGATTTATTATATATAACAAGAAATGCTATTTTCCGGGATTTCGAAAATTAATGAATGAAGAAATAAACCGAAATGCAGGTAATATTCCTGGAAACAAGTCAAACGAAATGTCCAAGGCGTCCTAATTCGAACAAGGTCCCTTATAATGAGCTCACACTCAAATGCACTTCGAGATCAAATGTTTACTTATCTGCATTTTTCCACTAATTCAATACTACAAGAAGGTTTGAGCTGATACGCCAACACTAAATGAAAAATAATAATGAGGACTGAACAAGATGTGTATTGTCATTATATCTAAATGACAACTGCTGTTTGGGTTTTTGAGTCATCTGGGTCAAAAGAGTAGCAAAAGTTTATTATTAATCGGTTATTTAGAATAGTCTCTAGCGAACACTGTATCGTAAAGCCTGTAATAAAAGGTGAACAACTATTAATTTTCGTGAAACGTGTATTAGAAGAGTTTGGTCTTTCATTGTTCCAAGGTATTAGGTTGATGCAAAAGTGTCTTTCGATTTTGAATGCTTAACTTCGAGAATTGATATCTGGTCAGTGGGATGATTTGAAAGTTACCCAAAATGGCCAACTTTATGAATCGCTCATTTTACCATCCCAAGCATATGATCTGTTAGACTTTTCCAAAAAAAAATTCAAGTAACGAGATAAATCTGTTCCAGTTATTATAGGTTTCCCTACAGATCGGTAATTGCAGAGAACCCAAATTGTCATAGGTCTTTTTTAATGTTTCAGCCATCATCATTGAAAATAAAATAATTTCAAACAACAAAATTGTTGAAAATTTTCAATTTTTCGTACAAAATTAAGCTGCAAACCATTTGTTGCTATTTTTGGTTATGTATTAGTAGCATTATTTAGTGAAAAAGATTTGGATAAAGCATTTTCCTCTAAAACATATAAAACAGGTATTAAATCAAATTTCATTCAATAAATCTTGTTCATATATGTATATATTTTTATTATCAGATCATATAGATATTTTTTGATATTTCTTCAGAATCCATGGATATTCGATCCAATGCTTTCACCAAATTTTTCAGTTTTCCAACCGTCCCATCGTAAAATTCATAATTTC